TGCGTATAGATCAGGACAATGAACTCCGTTTCATAAATTATGCAAGTTATTTAAAATACCAGGCTTTAGTACGGAATTTTCTCACGCCATATGACAAGATCTTAAGACTATGTGAAGAATGTATTACAAAGGAAAAACTGGTTTATATTAGGTGTTTGTTTACAAAAACGAAGTCGCTACGTTTTGGTCATCTGAGGGCCTTCAACTCTCTACATAAATAATACTGAGAATGTTACTCCATGCTTTTAATAACAAAGTCCTGAGTACAAAACGCACATTCGTTAATGAATCTGTCTTATAGACGCATTAAACGTGATTACTGTATAGGCCTACGCTAGCTTTTCAAAACTATTAATTACATAAAAGGCTTGGCTCATTTAGGAGAAGAAACGCCCAGATGACACGCATACAGACGTTTCATTGCCGGACATCTTCCACAGATGAAGTAGGGCCGAAGACTGGTCAATCCGATCTTCACCAAATATTACTTGGGTAATCACGTCATGGAAAATGAAATGGGGCACATTAAAGCCTGTCAATATTCAAACGGAGTGTAATCTGTCACCGTCGGCGATATTAAATTCGTCGAGCAGTTATAGGTCAAGTGAAGTTTCGTCTTATAATTACCAGCATCTTTCTCTTTAATTTATTATCATTATTACTGTTACTATTGCTTATTCAAAATTATATTTAAGTTAAATATGAGTGTAGTACACACTGGTAAATAAACCATTCTGGGATGAAGATAGATACTGAATGCCCGGAAGAAAAAGTGATTTTTGCTTTGAAATTTGTCCATCGTCTTAAGTTTCTTCAAACATGAAGTTTCGGAACAGATAATTTCTCATTAACCGTGTATAACCTAGTCAGTTGATACAGCGTCATGAAGTACGTTCTCTTAGAATCACTAGAATGCTTTTATATGCCTGTCTCCAGTTGGATGACATTTATTTAAGTAATTATTTTTAATGATCTTTATAGGCTTTTGCGTGTAAAACGCAACTACTTCTTCGAACAATGTTTATTTAAAAAATAGCCCCAGAAACAAGTGCAATTATTTTAACAACAAACGTTGTACCAGCGCGGACACAATGACTGTCACGGTGTTATTCCATTCCAGGAATGTGGTGTAAAAGGAAACGAGAAAATCTGCACCTTTAAGTCTTGCTGTTTCGCTGACCACGACACTGATTCAAGGTTGTTAACGAAAAAGCATGCAGAAGTCATTACCCCAAAGAAATAAGAGATCTCATCTACGAACGTTTCGTTACAATAAATAAATCTGAAAGATAATTACTTCAGTATTTAGGCCTAACGTAATTTTACTTTCAGTTATCAACGTTTCACGTCACTTAAGGTCTTACATTTCGTCTCGTGAAATTCCATTGCAGGAGACAAGAACTACACCGACGACGGTCAAACAGACTTTAATCAAAGGACAATGACACTTTTAATCATCCTCCTTCAGCGTTTGACTATCGAAAGGGATCAATGTCTGTTTCGTTCCCTGCATTCATATTTCGAGTTTAGTTAAAACCGAGATTTCTTCTCAAAATAATATACCAAGATTACAGACTTTTGGACGTTCTTTAACATTCCAGACTACTTTTATGTTTACAAAGTTCTCACAAACAGAATTAAATCATCACATTTTATTTGGACTCAGTTCCAATAATTAAAATATAATTTTGAAGCTTATGTTTCCAGATACCACGAATTAGTACTCCAGTAAATAAAAGAGGTTACAGTTAGAATGAGGATTGAATTCGTTAGTATTTGGACAAATTTACTGTTAGTTTTTAACACGAGGTGTAACAATTAAGTACCCGGAATGCCCGTATACATGTATAGAGTGAGCAGTAAGTAAGCAGCAAATCTTAAGACGGCCTGTAGTTGCATCTTGAGTGTTCTTGAAGCAAATAAGACAGTATGGCGAAGCAGTGGCATAGTTACACAAGCGCGTGTTTCCGTCCCGGAGGAAAAATGATTGAATGACAGCCATTTTGCGTGCTCACTGGAGTGAAAGCCTCAAATTTTACTGAGTGACAGGTTGTTGGAGCAACGCATTAACATCAAGTTTTGTGAAAAATTAGTCAAAAGCGCGAGTTAAACTCTGCAGATGTTAACAGAGGCTTATGGTGCTGATGGAAGAGGGTCCAGAAGACGTGAAACACGACGAAAAACCCGACGCCCGAAAATTCACAGGGCAGATGAAAGTGTGGGAGACGCATATACGAGAGCAATGCAAACAGTCAAGCCAATAAAATTCGATAGTGTTTTATACGAAAGTCGGACGTTAATCCGGAGCTAATGATGAAAACAAGACATTTTGGTAGAAAAACCAAAGGAAGATTAACCCAAGCAACAGCTCATGTTAAAATTCATGCTGAATCCGTTTAAATTCGAAAAAAAATATTTACCGCATTGTCAGTCGGGCCCGACACAACGAAAATATCGTCGAAGCTGTTTAAAATAGGCCGCATATGTTGATGTGCAGGTGTACGAGAGTTGTTTTGGATCTGACGTGGTGAAGGAGGTGCGCCAGGAGATGAAGGCAGCGTGCGCCAAGTGCGCCGGAGTGTCCGCCACTGCGCCTGGTCAGGCCGTACCTTCTCTAGCCGAGCCGAGCGACAAGAAGAAGCCTCCTGCAGGCGCTGTGCCGCCCTCGTTCGACGCTACCAGACTCCAACAGGCAATTCTTAGTTTCAGGTCTCCCCCACAGCAGGTGAGTCAGTCGTCAATTTCAAAACTTAATTTCTAATCTTAAGCAGATTAATTCCCAATATTCAGTTCTGATTTCTTTATCTTCCAGTCTCTTATCAACAAAAATAAAGATTAAAATATACAAAACTATAATTTTACCTGTTGTAGCCTTTTCTTTATAAATGTGAAGTTCTGTACTACAGTCAACATTTACAAGGCAAATGAGTACAGTCAAACACATCAAATTTTCACTGTTCTGGTTGCTTATTGAACAGAATCCTCTGCTGTCTGGATACATACAGCAGAGTCCTACAGTGACACCCCAGTACAGGCCTGCAGGCTTCTACCCCCAGCAATTCCCCCTGTACTACCCTGCAGTGCCCAGCGGATCTCTGTACAACCCCCAGCCTGTGCCCTACCAGAGTGTCTACCCTGCAGGGCCCAACCCCTATTATCAGGCACCTTTCTATCCTGGTGCACCAACATACTCTTCTGGTCAGAGAGCTTCGGTAAATAAACACACAATCGAACATAAGTTTAGATTTAAGATTTGAGGTTTTCACAGCAGTGAGTATGAAGATTTCTGTCTTCTGGGTTGTTGCGCTGTGTAGTCTGGTCGATGTTAACCAACGTTTCTGAGGTCATACTCCGAAACGTTGGTAAACATCGACCAGACTACACAGCGCAACAACCCAGAAATCTTCATAAGTTTAGATGTTTGCGCAAGTTCATCAATAATTCAGGCCATACTGATTTCTGTATCAGCACATCTTATAGTACTTAATAACATTAACAGGTTCATTTTATATGAATTATTATGTGAATATCAGAATGTATTAGTAATAGGTGCTTATTTATTAACTGCTTTAGAATATCTGATGTTTCTTACCTAAGTATGGAGAGGAGATTCTCAAGATCATGTCCTGTGTGTTACAGAGAGATCTCGACATCAGAGGGCAACTGGAAACTCTGACATCACGTCTCAATGGCAAGATAAGGAATGTGACGTGTGTGATGCAGGAACTTGGCTATGTAAGTTTTCGTTCTTTCCCAATTCCTACTGCACAATGGGTGCAGTATCAGAAGAGACTGGGCACATATGGAACAAGTCACACAGTATTTTGGTTAGCTCTTTGTTAGCCAAATCATCTGGTCTGTACTTTCCTGTAAAATAAATTCAAGACAGTGAGAACAGCCATGTGGATACAAAATAAAGTTCACTCAAAAGACAAATATCCTTTAAATTGCACTTATCTGTCCAAGAGTTAATGCAGTTTCACGCAGGGACAAGTATGCATCTGTACAGCCTATATGACAAAGAAAAATGAGACTAACAGAAAATGCCAATCGAATACTTTGATTATGTTAGCACTCAGCAAAGCGGCTGTGTTATAAGCTGTAATAAAACTAAATAATACATGATTGAGCAGAGTTCTGCTGCCAACTCTCATTAAAATCATGAACTCACCTAGAACAGTGAGATAGAGAAAAATCTAATCACTCCCAAGTTTATACAAAAATATAAAGGAAACAAAAACACAAGGTAAATGCAATGTCATTGTAATCCCCTTGCTAATTTAACACAAGTTTAGATGTTTGCGCAAGTTCATCAATAATTCAGGCCATACTGATTTCTGTATCAGCACATCTTATAGTACTTAATAACATTAACAGGTTCATTTTATATGAATTATTATGTGAATATCAGAATGTATTAGTAATAGGTGCTTATTTATTAACTGCTTTAGAATATCTGATGTTTCTTACCTAAGTATGGAGAGGAGATTCTCAAGATCATGTCCTGTGTGTTACAGAGAGATCTCGACATCAGAGGGCAACTGGAAACTCTGACATCACGTCTCAATGGCAAGATAAGGAATGTGACGTGTGTGATGCAGGAACTTGGCTATGTAAGTTTTCGTTCTTTCCCAATTCCTACTGCACAATGGGTGCAGTATCAGAAGAGACTGGGCACATATGGAACAAGTCACACAGTATTTTGGTTAGCTCTTTGTTAGCCAAATCATCTGGTCTGTACTTTCCTGTAAAATAAATTCAAGACAGTGAGAACAGCCATGTGGATACAAAATAAAGTTCACTCAAAAGACAAATATCCTTTAAATTGCACTTATCTGTCCAAGAGTTAATGCAGTTTCACGCAGGGACAAGTATGCATCTGTACAGCCTATATGACAAAGAAAAATGAGACTAACAGAAAATGCCAATCGAATACTTTGATTATGTTAGCACTCAGCAAAGCGGCTGTGTTATAAGCTGTAATAAAACTAAATAATACATGATTGAGCAGAGTTCTGCTGCCAACTCTCATTAAAATCATGAACTCACCTAGAACAGTGAGATAGAGAAAAATCTAATCACTCCCAAGTTTATACAAAAATATAAAGGAAACAAAAACACAAGGTAAATGCAATGTCATTGTAATCCCCTTGCTAATTTAACACAAAGAACACAACTAGACAATTTACATTAGTGAAGGCGAGTAAAGTGCCCAAGGATTTCCTTGGGTACTTAAAAATTTGCCGAGTACAGCCTCTGACCCAGCTACAGGCAATACCAATGTTTAAATGACATGCTCAGAATATCTTCTATGACACAAAATGTCGTGGTTTGAACAAAATTTTGGTTTTACTTTTGACAGTGATTTAGAAATTAATTTGTTAAAATACATAATTTTTTAAATTGTAGTTGGATGAAAATTTGGAGCCCAATTTTGAGAAGATTTCAGAAAGAATCAACAGACTACCAATTGGAGAAGAACTGAAGAAAGACATGGTTGATGGTGTCCAGTTCTGCAAACAGTTTGCTGTAAGAAGTTTTTTTAAATCTAAACAAAATAATTTTAAGTGCAGCAGACACTACCATTCTCTGTAATATTAATAAAGTTTTGTGTCAAAAATGCAGTGCAACAGAATTCTAGAGGAGTAACATACTTACATAAATGCCAGTAAATGTCAAATTGATTAATGATGCAAATCATAAAAGCCAGCAAATAATTTGAAGGTTTTCACAGCGGAGAGTATGAAGACAGAAATCTTCAAATAATTTGAAGCATCCAGAAATTATGTCAAACACTTTCAATCCAAACTGTTTGTTTGGATATTTGCAAAGCATTCATGCTGTTTCCTGT